GCCTCTTCTCCGTCTCTTCCTCTGCTCCTCAAACCAGCAGTTTGGGAAACGAGACGCTGACACTGCTTTGATGGGAGGCCAGGATCAAATTAAACCACTCCTGGTTTTACAAGTCTAATATGTCCAATGAGAGCTCTCAGCTCACTCAACACATTCTAACCCACTTGTGCTCAATGAAGCATTGTTTATGAGAATCATCAGCTTGAATAATGTGTGGAAGCAAAAGGACGATTTTTTAGGCAGCCACGGAATTTTCTTCCCTCCCTGCTCCACAAATGAAGAGGTAAAGAGAAGGGCTTTTCCTTTGACCCAGGGCAGGGTGTGTGCAAGGGCGTGGGCAGGGTTGAGAGAGATTTGAGCAAGGACAGGTATCCAGCTGGCAAGATCAGACGTCACACTCAACCAGAAGAAAAATTTTGCAGCCAGTCAACCATCACATCACATCCTTCCAATATTACCTAGTGTTCAGTCTTGAGGCCTAATCGAGGAAACAGAAAAACTGTAGCACTTTGGGTGTGTTCGAATGGCCAGGGCTCTGCTGGCTTAGCCAACTCTACCCCTTAGTTACGGTTTCTATTTTAAAATTCCACCTTTGGGGCGCCTGCATGGCTCAGTCAGTTAAGCGTCTACCTTCGGCTCAGGTCATGATCCCAGGGTCCTGGGTTCGAGTCCCGCATCGGGCTCCCTGCTCCGCGGGAATCTGCTTCTCTCTCTCCCTCTGCCTGATGCTCTGCCTGCTTGTGTGCTCTCTGTCAAATAAATAAATAAAATCTTTAAAAATAAATAAGTAAAATTCTACCTTTGTGCAGCTGATCCTTCTACTTTGCTGGTTTATGTTAATATTTAAAGGAGGATAGCTAGTTGCCAGCAAAAGAAGGCAGACACAGATAAAATGTAGCACCTCTCTGGCTAATTCAGAACTGCATCAGTCACAGCTCTGTATCCCATACAGTTACCACCCCCAGGCCAGGGTGTTCAGAGTCTCTGATTTTGCAGTTAGACCCAGCTGGGGCTTGAAACTGGCTCCAGACGTTTAGTAGCATTACCAGATGGTGGAATCCTCTTAGGAAGTAATTCTGTGGGCTTCCTATTCCCTAACCAGGTCTTTGAACATAATGTGTTTCTCACCCCCAGCAAACTCAGCTTTCTCATTCCCTAACTAACCAGTCTCTATCTCTACTTTAGGAATAAATTAGGAGAGAAAGAAAGGGACCACCAGAGAGAGAGAAGAGAGAAGGAGGGAGGGAGGGAGAGAGAGAGAGAGAGAGATTATGGTCTCATATTTTCCATATACGCTAGTAGAAGCCAATATTATTTTTCTTCTCAGTCAACAGGATTTCTCCCACCTCCTCAAGTGCCATTTTCATGTTTTTAGCTTTGTTTTGTTTTGTTTTAAGAAACCCATCTCCTCAGGGCACCTGGGTGGCTCAATCTTTAAGCATCTGCCTTTGGCTCAGGTCATGATCCCAGGGTCCTGGGATTCGGCCCCACGTCAGGCTCCCTACTCAGTGGGGAGTCTGTTCTCCCTCTGCCCTCCACCCCCCCCACCCCACCCCCCTCGTTCTCTCTCTCTCTCTCTCTCATAAATAAAAATCTTTTTAAAAAAATCCATCTCCTCCTCAGGCTTATCCAGTGATTCTTTTTTATTTATTTTTTTATTGAAGTATAATTAGCATACAGTGTTATATTAGTTTCAGGAGTATAATACAATGACTCAACAATTCTATACATAACTCAGTGCTCATCACGATAAATGTGCTCTTAATCCCCTTTATCTATGTCACCCATCCCTCCACCCACCTTCCTGGTGATTCTTTTTTTTTTTTTTTTTAAAGATTTTATTTATTTATTTGACAGAGAGAAACACAGCGAGAGAGGGACCACAAGCAGGGGGAGTGGGAGGGGAAGAAGCAGGCTTCCCACGGAGCAGGGAGCCCGATGTGTGGCTTGATCCCAGAACCCTGGGATCATGACCTGAGCCGAAGGCAGACGCTTAACGACTGAGCCACCCAGGCGCCCCCTTCCTGGTGATTCTTAATTTCAAAAACAATTGAAATCTTTCCCAACCATCCCATAGCAGGAGCATAATCTGGGTTTGGCTTAGACATACCCCTGCCAAAACCAAAAATATAAGTTATTTTTAAAGTGGTTTCTCAACAAAACAAGTGTTTGGTTTTGGTCGTGACTTGTTTTGTCTTTTTTATTTTTTTTTTCGGTCACCCAGTATTTCTCCCTTTCTATTCATTTCCATGCCTTGTCCCCATTGATTTTACGAGCTTCCAAAAGTTGTACACTCGATTCCCTTTCGCTTAAGTTAGCCAACTTTTGGTTTGCTGGCTTTGGGTTAGCCAGCTTAGTTGTTCATAAACAAAAATATTAACCAATATACCTGGGCCACATCTTGGCCCTCACCTCTTCTTCCTGTCCTCAAGTTGCTAGTGCTTAAGCATAGATTAGATAACAGTGATCCAAATATCGTCTCCCAGATAAATTTCTCAATCAGTAAACTGGATTTAAGGGAATGGGGAACAGGAGTTGATATGAGAGGAGAATATTTCAGCAGTACAATATCATGAAGCGTATTTATTTGTAAGACACAAAGAAAGCTGTGAGTGCACAAGTCCGCCTGCGACACTGGAGGTAAGGACTTCGACTACTTAGAATTTTGCCCATAGTTGGCTTTAGCGAGAAAGACTGTGATAGTATCCTTCCTTGTAGCCTTCTGCTCCGATGCTCTTCCTATTTCTTCAGCAATAAAAGCCACCGGGACGGAGATCATTGAGATTCAGGAAAAGGGGTAAGAACAGAAGCCACTGGCAGACAGTAGCCGAGCTGACATTATAGATCTCCTTGCAAATACCGGGTCATTCAAATGCTTTCATGAGCACATCTCTGCTGCTCTTCCCAGCAACACTGGGGGTGGGGGGGTGGGCGGGAGCCGATGAGGAGCAGAGCAGATACTGTGGTTTTCATTTTACTGTTGAAAACACTGAACTTCAGAGAGAGGACGTAGGTTTTCCAAGGGTCCCAGGCTGAAACCCACATCTTCTCGTTTCTCCTATAAAGAAACCAAAGAGGTAGGTTAATTAATGCATTGGCAAAAAGGAACAAGTAGTAAATGAAGAGTAGTAGGCCTTGAATTATTAATAGCTACTACACCTGTTAGGTTCCGAGATTAGGTCCCTAACCTTCAAGATGGGGAATAACATCTGGTTGCCTGAGAGAAGGGGCTGGAAGCACAGCAGGGCTCAATTAACGTTTAATGAATGAATAACGCACGAGACAGGATGCACTACCTAAGAGAGGGCCTTAGAGCCCCGTAAGGTGTTCTGATTCCGCACGGCCAGTAAACAGAAGCCTCTGGAGAGGATTTAGACAGAAGCACTAGCTCAAGCTCCCCGGCTCAGGGGGTCACCTGCAAAAACTTTTATACTCAGATTTTGTTTTTCAGCTGACGAAGTCTGAAAGGAGGAACAGCCGTTCCGCCTTCCGACAACCCACTGCGGCAAACCCCGGGGGAAAAGTTTGCTCTGGGCTTGGGGGTGGCTCTCTTTCCTTTTTGTGTGCACCTCTCCCGAAAAGCGTTCTCGGAGCGATCCAAGGCTTCTGGAGAACGGCAGGCTGCTCGCAGGCGTTGACTGCCTGTCAATTCCAGCCCGACAGAGAGGCGCCCCCGCCTCGGAGCCCCCGGCGGTCGCCCGCTCGGAGCAGCGTCGCCCAGCGGGCAGAGGCGGCCGGCGCGTCCCGGAGCCTCCCTCCTCCCGCAGCCCTCGGCGTCCGCAGGCTGCCACCTCCTGG